TAGTAAATTTGGAGTATTTTTTTAAATTCGCTAGTTGGTTTTGAATTGAAAATTTGGGAATTCATTTTTAAAATTCATGATTTTTAATTAGAATCAATTTGAATCGTATGCAACCTAAGCCATATACATGACATCCACCTTAATACATAAAATCCTACTCTATTATATTGATTGGGCTGTTGATGTGAAATTGTTGCTGTGGACAGTGATGTTATTACTATTATTCTTGTTATTTTTTTTTTAATTTTAGTTTTATAATTATTATGGATAAGAGTTTTATATTTATTACATATTGAGTAATATATTTATTTATTAAATATTATATTTGTTTAAGTTAATGATCAAATTTATTTATTAAATATTATATTTGTTTAAGTTAATGATCAAATAATATGCATGTTGTTTGTGTTTTAAAAAATCATAGATAGAATAATATTGAAATAAAAATGTTATATTATTTTTTTATGAATAAATTATGTGAAATCGTTGTTTCAAACTAAGTTGAACCGTGTTTAAATGGTTTGGTCATGATTTAAATGAATTGATTTGATTCTAATTTTTATAGAATTGTAGACAATGAATTGCTCATAACTTTATCCCAAATCGAATCAATCCGGACCATGCTCACCCTTAAACTCAATTATATTTTCTTATTGGGTAAATTACAATCATCTCCCTTGAAGTTCTTGACAATTACACTAGTCTTCCCTCATTTCTTTGAAATTACAGTGACCTTTTACTATGACTAACAGCATTAATGAAAAGGTTAATTTAGTAATTTTAACATTATAGATGTATTTTTGTTGATAAACATTTAATGTGCGATTATTATTTTGATTATACCTTATGTGTGTTTGGATATCACTCATTTTTTTAGCTATAAATGAATGAGTTTTTTATTTTATTTTATAATATTCTAAAAAAAATACAATTTAGAGAATTGACCCACTTTTCAAACTATTTAAAAAATTAACCTACTTTTTGAAATCACATTTTGAAAATTTTGAAATTGAAATTGTATTTTTCACGTGCAATTTCACCTTGAAATCGCATGTTGAAAATACAATTTTCAAAAAGTGAAATCCATGTCATCATAAATTGCATTTTCAACATGCGATCGCATGTTGAAAATGCAATTTCAATTTAAAATTGAATTTTCAAAATGTGATTTTAAAAAGCAGGTTAGTTTTCCAAATAGTTTGAAAAGTTGATCAATTTTCTAAATTCTTTTTTAGAATATTTAAAAAAAAAAAAACTCATATATGTATTCTATAATAACATATTGTTACGATAAAAGTGATGATGAAATAAATTAAAAAATTAATTACATTAACATAAGAGAAGTTGTTTGGTAGTTTTTAATCAATACTTGAAATCATACACTTCAGTTGTCTTTAAAAAATAAGATAAAATTGATGAGTATCACTATCTAAATTAATAAAAATCAAATTGATACACCATATGTATTTATTTGAATAGTATTAAATAGCATTTTTAAATACTCATGTGGTTTGACGGTAAATAAATAAATATATATATGTATATATAATTTATTGCATTACATATATATAATTTATTGTATTTTTCATTTGGTTTCAATAATTCATACTAATTTGTTTACCTAAAAAATGTTAATTTATAGATAAACACTTCAAATGTTATACTAACCAGACTGAAATTTCCGTATATGCTAATTTAACAATTAATCACTTATTTTCGCCCAAAACAAAAAGAAAAAAAAAAGAAGAAGAAAACATTTGTCAAACTAATGGTTAACTAACAAAAAGGGAGAATTTGTAAATCAAAAGCAAACCTTAAGTGAGGTTACTAGGTTAGTGTAATTTTAGAAATAGAAGGGGAGGCCAGTGTGAATGCTAGAAATCTTAAGGGAGGTTAGTTAATTTACCCTTTCTTTTTTTTATTATTTTTATAGAAATTACAATTAAAAAAAATGACTTTTAAAGCAAATAATTACAAATATGTAGAGAATAAAATAATAATTGTAATAAGAATGGAAAGACAAAAAAGAAGCAGCTTCTCTCAAGATTCTATCTTCTCTATACTTCTCAGGATTTTACTTTGAGACGGTCTTATAGGACCTACAACGATGTTTTGAACCGTTCATCTTATAATTCTCAAAGAGAAGCATATATATGCAAAAAAAAAAAAATTAACTAGATCGAACATGAAAAGACATGCTAACATGTCATATTTTATTTTATAAAATAGACGATTTTAGTTTAAAATAATATTTACTATCAATTTTATAAAAAAATAAAAATACAATTAATTAATATATCTATTGCTATGTAATTAAATTAATTTTTGACATTTACATTTTTTTTTTTTTCCTTCAAAGCCTACTGAAGGAATAGTTTGAATTACCGTTGTGGTCCCTTGAAACTCAGGAAATGGAGTTTTGAGAGATATGCAAATGATGAAATCTTCAAGAGAGTTGCTCAGGAAAATAAATAAATAAATAAAAATTCAAAAGGTTGAATCCCTTCCTTGAATTTACCAAAAATGGCCTCATTTCTCTTTGTCACTTCTCTATTCTCTTTCTTCTTATTCCATTTTTCTCTACAACTCTGGCAACCATCACTTGCTACTGACCTCTTATCTCTACTGTTTCTTCCCATTTTAGCCATTTCCCCACCTTTCCACATTGTTATCCATCACTCCAATTCAATTCATCTCCTTTCACTCCCAATCCTCACCGACAATTCTTTGCCCTTAGCATTGTCTCCTGCCATCGTTATGACACCCCCCCTCTTATACCACAACTACCACAAAAAGATAGTGATTATGATATTGAGAGATGCCCCCAATTGATGTGAGATTCAAAATGTTTACAAAATCAAGATTACCAGAGAGTATAAAGGGTTGAGTTGGCGTAATGGGCTTTAGATGGTGCTTAGTAGGTATGAACGAGAGAGAGAAGGGAAAGGGTTGGGGGTGATGAAGAGAATCGGATCCACACCTTGTTCTTTCTTCTTGACTCTTTACTTATCGGGTTATTTGGGTTCAATTTTAATAATTCGAATTGCTTATATTTTAAAATTTGTTAAGTATATTATAACTGTAAAAATTCAAATTGATCAGATATTAGAAATTATTTGTTCGGATTATCGAACTAAAAATTATTTTCTAAAAAAATTTAATAAATAATTTTCAGAACACATCTTTTCTGATATACTATTAATTTAATTTTTTATAAATATAATATATTTAATAAATTTTAAAATACTAACTATTTAAATTATTAAAATTAATGTCGATCTAATGCCCAAGCAAATAAAAAGTAAAGGGAATTGGAGTTGGCTAGGACAGAAAGAATGACAAGGAGTTGACCACAATGGGAGAAGGAGTAGGGGTGGCAGAGATGGTATGGGAGGGATGCCGACGGTATGTAGTAGCTGTCAGAGTTGCTAAGGAAAAGGAAAAAGAAGAAAACAGATTGAGAATAAAAAATAGAGAAGTAGGACATTTTAATAAATGATTTAAGAGTATCTTTCCTCATTAACTTGGGCTGGTTTGGCATGGCAGGTTAAAAAAAAAAAATTAAAAAAATTATTATCTTATTTAAGTTATATTATCTTATTTAAGTTATATTATTTTTTTAACACACATTTCAAATCTAATTTAGGGGGTGTTTGGAAAAAAAAAAATAGCCCAATTTAGGCTAAAATTTACAAAAAGACAAAATAAGTTAAAATAGCTAATAAGACAAAATATCACATCAAACCCATAATCATTTCACTTTTTCTTTCACAAACATCACATCCAACCACAAAAAAATCTAATCATCTTTCCAAACACAAAAATTTTAACCTATTAAAATAGCCAAAAACTAAAATAGCCTACTAAAATAGCCTACTAAAATAGTCACTTCCCAAACGAAGCCTCAAACTCAACTTATATTTCATAAAAAGTCAAAAAATACATTTATTTAGATCATTCCAAACAACTCCTTATTTTCATTCATAGGGCTCGTTTGTTATATCTTAAAAAAATTAAAAAATTAAAAGATCACTATCTTATTTAAATCACATTATTTTATTTAAGTCACATCATTTTTCTATCACTTCACTTTAAACTCAATTCATACGCAATTCATATTTCATAAAAAGTCAAAAAGTGTAATAATTATTGTTTCATCAAATTAATGAAAAAATATTTTTTTTATTAAATTTGAAAAAATAAAGCATTAGAAAAGATTTATTTTTTATTTTTTATTTTTTTAACATCAAATTTGATAAAAAAAAAAAAGTGAAATTTGGGATAAGAGACAAATTTGTAAAAATATTTTGATGAAATAATTAAAGTAGTTCACATCAAATTAAATTTTTTATTCAAATTTAAAATTAAATTAAATAAAAAAAACAGTGCACGATTGAAAATACTCAAAGCATAAATTCCAACCCTTTGTAATGTTTCTCTTTGCACCACTATAATTACTGGTCTTGTTTGGTTTACTTTTGATAAATAAATTTTGGAGAAATTTTTTTAAAATTTTGTTTAGTTTAGTGATTTAAAAAAAATCGAAAAATCATTTTTTTTCTCATACACATCAATCAATCATTTTTTCAGTCTCTTCTTTTATTCTTAATCACTTTTTCTCTTATACACATTTACTCAAATACAACAAAATATCAAATCATTCTAAACTCTCATACTTCAAAATTATTTTCAAAATATATAACCAAACAAACTAAAAAAATTTTTAAACTCTCTCCTTAAAATCTTTTTTAAAAATTTAATTCCCAAAACCAAACTAAACATAACATATTGTTCTCCACTCATTTGTAATTGTTTGCCCTAAATGCCAATTTTATTTATTTATTTATTTATTTTTGTATTTCTTTTACTTTTGTTCCCACAGAAGGAAAGAAAGAAAAAGGAAAGGAGAAAATTCCTATTCTCCTTTGAACGCGGGAAAGTAAAACATTTACTTAATTCGCAAAGTCCTTTTGCTTAAAGCATAAACGCCACCGATTAACTGGCCCAAGCAAATCACACACATTTTGCGATGGAGACACAGCTAGGGAGAGAGAGAACTGTTTTTATCTTGAGATAGAGAAAGTCCTTAATTAGACACGGAGCTACATAGAGAAAGAAAGCTAAATAGAAAGTGACAACATTCATCAATACAGAGAAAAGTGAAGGGGAAGAGCCTCCTAATTAGAGAGAGAGAGAGAGAGAGAGAAAGAGGGGCATGAGGTTGTTCACAGCAAAGGCCAAGGGCAGCAGTGAAGGTTGGGGTATGGGTTTCCTTCTAGTGCTCTTCCCAGAAGATGAAACCATTGATATCAAGAAGAAGAAGACCGATCTCTTCTCTTCTTCTTCAACAACATCATCTTCATCATCATCTTCTTCATCTTCCAGTTCTTTCAAATCAATCATCAACAGTACTCTTAGACGCACCCCTTCTAGCCTCCTCATCTCCAGAGCCCAGTCCACCATCTCCATCTGTGCTCTCCTCATCTTCATCACCCTCCTTCTCTTCACTCTCTCCACCTTCGAACCCACCACAACCATCACTCACTTCACTTCTCGCAGACAATTGTCTTCAAATCCCCCATTTCTATACAAACCCAACAAAAGGCTCTCACAATCTCCATCGTGGTACAACATTTTCTCTCGCTATTCACATCACAAATCTGAAATTACAACAACCACAACTTCGCATGCTTTGCAAGGAATGGGCACTCTGTATAGAAGAGGCACAAAGGCCATGAATGATTTGATTGTGGCTCATGTTTTGGAGTCCGTGAAATCACAAGAACTTCGATTGTTTCTGAGACTCTTGCACAGGTCTGGTCTCACTTCGAGATCAGACCTCGTCCTCATCTTCCCCTCTCAATCCCATTCGGCTGATTTCGAAACTGTAATTCGAGAAGAGAACGAGTCATTCTCCGAACTCGTTCATCGAAATCGGAAACGCAACGGTACTTCTAAGCACTCGGCGGCGAGTTTTGATGTAACCCAGTTCGTGAAATCGAGCAAGAAGGAGAAGGAATGGGGAGAACCAATCTGGGGTAGAAGAATTCGAAGCAATTTCAGCGAAATCGGTGAGGCTGAGTCGACTCGGTTGAGTTATGGGTCGGTGGTGAGTTTTGTGGTCGATGAGCTTGACCCAGAAAACTCACTAGCTGGGTTTTTCGACCATGTTTCAATGAGTCTGAGAAGATGGGCTTGTTACCCAATGCTACTCGGTCGAGTTCGTAGAAATTTCAAGCACATGATGCTAGTCGATGTGAAAGAAGTGTTGATAATCGGTGACCCACTCGGCCGAGTCAGGACTCGGAGTCCCGAGTCAGTTCATTTATCAACTGAGTCCATCACACCCAGCAACAACAAACATGGAAAGAAAAACTCGGTCAAAACTCAGTCCCACTCGCAGAAACCGGTGAACTCGGCAGTGATAATGGGCGGAGCTCGGGGAGTTCGGCGGTTGGCAAACGCGATGCTGACGGAGATTGTCCGATTCACAACTCAACAAAAGAGGAAGAACTTGGTGACCGAGTCAGGACTCTTTAACCAACTCGTTGGCAATGAATTCATATTGAAGAATGTGAATGTGAATTTGTTCACATCGGCCGAGTCAATCCCTAATGAGAGTTCACTCATCCGGTTGAACTCAAGCCCAGGTTCCTCCTTGTCTTTATCAAATTATACGATGATTCGGCGTGGTAATAGCAATATAGATATAACTTCTACGATTGAGAAGCTAGTGTGTTCGCTAGAGGTAGATTCTTCTGTTTATAGTGATTGTTAGTAGGCCTAATAAATAAATTAAATTATAGAGAACGTTGTAATTAGAGATTTTTACAATTTTTTTTATTTCATGATATATGTTCATACCATGTATAAAATTTAATAAAACTTTGTGGTTTGGTGTTGAAATGTTGGTTATCAATAATATAACTTATCATTCTGATGTATCAAAGAATAAATAAAATTGATATAACTTATCGTTGGAGAAATGTTATGGGATGGCCACCTTTTTAGAAATGGTATTTTAATTAATTTTTTATACGAATTAATTAGATTAAATCTACAATTTTAAAGTTAGAGTGATCACTAACTTGTTTGGTGTAATTTTTAATAAGTTCAAAATTAATAATAATTTTTTTTTATTTTTTAAAAAAAGCTAATTCTGATGTATCAAAGAATAAATAAAATTGATATAACTTATCGTTGGAGAAATGTTATGGGATGGCCACCTTTTTAGAAATGGTATTTTAATTAATTTTTTATACGAATTAATTAGATTAAATCTACAATTTTAAAGTTAGAGTGATCAAATTTTTAATAAGTTCAAAATTAATAATAATTTTTTTTATTTTTTTAAAAAAGCTAAACGCTCACTTATTAATGTTTCAATTTATTTAAGTTATCGGTCTCTGGTATAAAATATTATTGCATAAATTTCTTTAAAAAGGAAATAGAAATAAAGTTATAAATAATCCATATATTACAGCCAAAGGGCTAAAATGATATTAAAAGATTGGTTTGGAAATAAGTTATTTTAATAAATTTTTTTTATTAAAATATAAAGTGAAAAAAATTAGAATGTTTAGAATATTTTTTAATTTTTTATTAAAAAATTATGGACAAAATAGATAGAAAAATGAATATTTAACTTTTTTTTGTGATTATTTAATTATTTGATTTTTTTTTACAACTTTTTGACTATTTTTTAAACTTTCCAAACTTATCATAAATGTTTATTGAAAATTATTTTTTAAATTTTTAATAAAAATATATACAAATAAAATAAAAAACATAAAGAGTGAATTGGTGATAAATCCAATCTAAAGAGTATATAAGACATTAAGTCCAGTAGATATTCTTTATTGGTGAGAGATTTGCGATTTGTAAAATAGTTTGACAAAAATCTTACAAAATATTTTATTTTTAATTTTACCCGTTGACTTTTATTTTATATGTTTGATTTTTCACTAATTAAAATTGGTCGGTGAAATAGTGTAGTCGGCCGGTCAAAAAATTTTGACCGACTTGCTAAAAATTTGGTTGGCCTGCTACTATTCATGCACCATTTGGCTGGCTGACGTGGCCCCCTGAGAAATCTTCGTATTGTACCTTTTTTGCCATTTTTTTTTTTTGTTTTTTTTGTTTTTCACCCTTCTCTTGAGAAAATTAACAAGCTGACTAATTTCTTGGCTGGCCGGCTGATTATTTTGGCCAAGAGAGGACAGATCGCGGTAGCGGAGGAATTGACAACGACGAGAGAGAAAAAGAGAGAGAGGAGGGAAATGTGTGAAGGGGTGTGACTGCTAGGTTTGGACCGTGTAGATGACATATATAAGGGTAGTTTAGTCATTTTGTTTGAATTTGTCTTTTTAAACAAAATATTTGAATGTCTCAACTTTGATCAAATAAAATTAAAAATTAAATTTATAGATCGACTATCCAAAAATAAATTGACAGTTATGTGTATATATATATATTTTACTTAGAAACTTATATTTCCAATCATAGAATGTGGTGTTTTGAGAATTTAATAAAAAAATTAATTTTTTTTACTTTTTTAACTTATTTTGTTGTTTTATAAATAAAAAATTATAAAAATAATGTGACTTAAAATAGATAAAAAATTAAAAATTAACTTTTTATTTTATTTCCAAAACAGCCCAATGTTTCCAAACATATTCGTTTGAAAATTAATTTTTTAGTATTTTTTTAATTTTTTATAATTATCACTTATATTTGATGACAGTCAAATCAGGTGCAGTTGTATTACCAAAGAGAGAGCGGTTGGTCCATCAAAATGGTTCAATTGTGTAGCATGTGATCTTCCATCAATGCACTCGCTATTAGTCAAAAAAAATCATTAATAACCAATCAATTTTTATCTTATCATAAGCGCCACATGGTGTTCTCATAGAGGAGCACCACAATAGTGAAACTAATCACTGCCCTCCATTTCTTCGACACCTATAGATACAGGGGTATTTTGAAAAGATGATAAAAAATTAATTATTTAACTTTTTTAGATAATTTTATTTTTTTTATAAATTATGTGAAAAGTGATATAACTTAGGGCTATTTTGAAAAGTTGACTTTTAGTCTTTTTTTTTGGTTTGTAGTAAAAGTAAAAAATTAGCTCTTTTGTCTTCTTTTTTTTTCATTTGGGAAGTTAGTTTTTAGCCAAGGGTGAAATTACAATTTTACCCTCATGGATTAAAATATGTTACATAGATGAAGTTGTAAATATTTTAAATAAATAGGGGTAATTTAGTCATTTTATTATGATTTGACATCATAAAAAACATTAATCAAAAAAGTCAAAAGTCACTTTTTACTAACTTCCGAAATATTTTAAGCTTTTGACTTTTTTAAACAAATGATTTGGAAAGTTAGTAAAAAGTGACTTTTGACTTTTTTTTATTAATGTTTGTTTATGATGTCAAATCATAATAAAATGACCAAACTATCCCTATTTATTTAAAATACTTATAACTTCACCTATGTAACACATTTTGACCCATGAGAGTAAAATTATAATTTCACCGTTGGCTAAAAACCAACTTCTCAAATAAAAAAAAAGACAAAAAAATCAACTTTTAACTTTTACTACAAACCAAAAAAAATTGACTAAAAATCGACTTCTCAAAATAATTCTTAAAATAAATAAGCTTTTCAAAAAAACTCCATAGTAATCACATTGTTTTCATGATTTGATCTAACGGTCAGGATCATTTCTTTAACACTATCTTTGACAAAACGATTTTCATGTTCTCGTCAACCAGTACTCTATAAATATATGGATGGAAGAGAGGAGAGAGATCTACGGGAGGGAGAGAGAGAGAGAGAGAGAGTAAGCAAGGGTGTGGGCGTGATTTAGTGCTGCTTTTTATAAAGAGTAAAAATAAAAATTAAAAAACTGAGGGCGTGATTTGGTTTGGTGCTTCTTTCTAGAGACAGAGAGAGAGAGAGAGAGAGAAAGAGAGAGAGAGAGTCATGGAGGGAATGTGATGCAACTGCGCTTAGGGGGGGAGTGTGGGTGAGCGCATTGATTAAACCCATGTGCTTGGATGTTTCCACCGCGTTTGCATTTGTGCTTTAAAAATGGAGAGACAGAGAGAGAGAGAGAGAGAGGGGGAGGGGACAGAATAAAAATTGGTTTGGAATGTGGTTGATTTTTTGATTTTTTTTAATTATTTTAATTTAAGATTAAAAAGTTTTATTTATGATAATAGAGAGAGAGAGAGAGAGAGGGGGAGGGGACAGAATAAAAATTGGTTTGGAATGTGGTTGATTTTTTTATTTTTTTTTAATTATTTTAATTTAAGATTAAAAAGTTTTATTTATGATAATTTTTTTTAGTTTTTTTTTTTAATTTAGAATTAAAAAATTTCGTTTAAGATAATTTTTTTTAATTTTTTTGACTTTTATATGAGAAAAAATAAATTAAATGTGATATTTTATCGTATAAGACTATTTATTCTCAATCTTTATTTCAACAGAAATAATAGAGACCCTATTTTCCTTTACACTTCACAATCTCTCTACAAATACATGTCAATGAATGAGTGATGGGAGGAAAAATAAATAAAAAAACATAAAAAAAAAAAAAATTTATTCAATTCTAATACATTAAAAAAAAAAAAAAAAAAAAGCACTGATAAAATACTTATGGTAAAAGAAAGGAAAAAAAAAAAAAAAAAAAAAAAAAAAATTTTTCAATTTTAAAAAATTAAAGGGGGGGGGGAATTTCAAAAAAAAAAAAAAAAAAAGTAAAGTATCAACCTTTTTTTTTCTTTATTCCAAACGGGCCTTAAAACGAGTTAGCTTTGTTTTGCTTTTAACTTTGCCAGCCTTGTCCAACCAAATTAATATGGAAATAAATAGAGTGGAGTGGTACAATTAAAAAATTATATTTTTAAAAAATATTATATTAAAAATATATAAATAAATAAGATAATATTAAAATAATTACATAATGATTTTTTTTCTTTTTTATTTATTTTTTTTTTCTTTTTTATTTTTACAAGTTGACACCGGAAAAACTTTCACCACACGACACTTCCATCATTATAAAAATGATATTTATTTTTTCACTTTTTAACTGAAATACAATTTTCCTTGTTATATTTATCTCTGGTGTTATCCACGGGTACTGTTAATTGTATTGATTAACCAAATTTAAAATAATTATAGATTATGATATGTAATTTTATATATATATATATATATATTAGGACATCCTATCACAAATTAACATAACTTTACCACAAAAGAAAATTGATAAAAAATCTACTTTAACAATTGTCTAATGCATTAGATCTGGGGATATTTTTTTGTTAATGAGAAATTTACACTTTGTAAAATAGTTTGTAAGAAGTCTTGGAGAATATTTTGTTTTGAATTTTACCCTTTGATTTTTATTTATTTATTTGACTTTTTGTTGACTATTTATTTAAATTTATATTTATCTGTTAATTTTTTTATTTGTTAAAATTATTTTCTATCTGTTTAAATTTGTTATGAAAAAGCTGATGAAGTGTTTGTTGGAAATAGTTATAAAATTCTTGGTAAAATCAGAATTTTTTCTTAAATTTGGTCTAATTTTTAGGTGGGCCCCGTACATCGATTTACGCGGGTCAAAGTGGTAACGCGTTATATGTCGCGTTGTGATTCACGTGATATATTTGGTTACTCAAAACCATTGCCGAGTGAATGGGAAATTGAAGCCAAAGTGTGCTCCATGGAAATGAAGTTTTGGTGGAAAATCCTTAAAGGTTTGAATAAGACTTGTCCCACGTTAATTTGGTAGGAAGTTTTGAATGGGTTTATAAGGCATGGGTTTGGTACTTAGGGTGTGCCCCAAGGGGTACCCAAGTATTTTAGAGAGGAAGGTTATGGGCAAAATAGGCTAG